TTGTGATTTATTACTTTGTTCAATATATAAGATCTTCATCAATGTGTGTGAATCAGTAATAGGTTGCTCTATTAAATAATACATAATTAATTTATATATTAAAAAAGATAAAATAAAAATAAATAAAATAAATATTAACCTGGGCTTTTATCATTTAGAGAAGTTATAGAAGAGATAACAACTTGGGGTTGAGACTAAATTATAATATACATGTTAAAATTTAAAATATACAGTAAAAAAAAAAAAAAAAAACATACAAAGTTTATTGATAATTCTTTTCTACTACCTAATGACTTATTATTAGTAGTAGTAGTTGTATTATTAGTAGTAGTCGTCTTTTTAGTAGTAGTAATTGGAGAATCAGAAGTTTCTGTATTAGCCACTTGGTTAGCAGCTTTCCTTTTTTTGGGTAAAGAGTTTGACTCTAATGAGACGTTTAATTTTGTTGCTTGTGCTGAGGTGGTTGATTGTGATAATATAGTTAAGGTGTTTGAAGTTGTTGATTTTTGCTGCAACGAAGTTCGAGGTGAATTGGTTGATATTTCATTATTGCTCGTTGCATGTTGTTCGGCCAATGATCATTTGGGTTGGCGCAAAGAACTAAGATTAAAGGATATATGTGTATAATTAGTTTTTTTGCCTTTTTCTCTCATAGTGAGTTAGTGTTAATTGACAAGAGCAATAAAATAAAATCTTTTCATTTTATATTATTCTAAAATCAATCATTATACATATTGCTTATTAGTTATGTCAGCTATCTGAGTTGAAATATACATACGCAAACTAATTTGAAAATACTTATCATCTTATATTATGCGACATGGTTACATTATTAGATTTCGAAATTCTGATCTGAAATTTTGTAAAAGAATTTGTTAATAATTATGTAACATGATAGAAAAGGCACCAACAGACGACAAAGAAAATTTACTAACAAATAGTAAGAACTTTGACTTTCTGATTTTAGGAATTTTGTAGAATAATTTGTTAAATAATAGAAATTATAATTTATAACTCATTTGTAAATACATTATATGTACCAGATCGTGCTTATTCAAAATATTTGAATAGCCAATTGATTCAGTTAACTTACAACTCATATGTCTTATAATTCTTTCTTGGATAACTGATATGACGGGCTTTTAGATTAATCAATAGAGATCTTTAATAATTAATCAATAAATGAATCATTTAGCTTATACTATGAATAAAGTTGATTTCTTACCCGAAGAGATAGGCAAAAAAATTTAATAGCACAATTACAATATTATACTCTAATTAAAACAAAAAGAGAATTAAATACTTATTTAATATATTTAAAAATATATATATTAATGATAACAACTTACAATAATCTATAAGAACAATTTCTTCTAAAAAATTAATTATAACAATTTCTTATAAATTTCTTAAAGAATGAATTCTCAAATTTTGGAATTGTCATTGCTTCTTAATAATTCGATTAATTTTCCAGCAATTTTTTTTTTGAAATTCATCAGCCAGTAACTTTTCTTGATAAATATAAGCTTCATATGATTTTCATAAGCATTAAATTCAGATTCCAAATTTATGTCTAATTTTAAAGGATAATATAAATTATTTGCTTAATAAAAAAGTTTCTTGAATAAAGCATATTCATCTGGATGCAATTTGCTAAAAACTTGATCCATAAACGTATAGATACACATTGATCTATTCATCTATACAAAAAAAAGTCAAAAATTAAATATTCAATATGTTAAATAGCAAAATTCAAAAATTTGCAACTTGATCTACAGTTCAACATTTTTGCGAACATGCATGTTCGTTATAATATATAATAATTTTGAATAGAGTGTGTGTTGAATGGTGTCTAGAGTGTGTCATTCAATGTGTAAATTGTCTTGTAAAATTCGAAATTTTCAATTTTTTACTTTGAGCGACATAATAAATTTTTTTTTAAAAAACAATGTTATGATTCAACAGAAATTTTACTATGTGTTGTGTACCATTACTTGAAGTTTCTTGCCTACTTGATCTAGGCACAAATTTTTGGTTTGTTATGGTCATTTAATAGTACATCGTAATTGCTTGATATAATATTGAAAAGAATATAAAGGATGGAAAAGTTTTCAGGCATGATTTCAAGAAAGCCACCTTACTAGTAGTCTTTTATTAACTATTGCACTAGAGTATGATTGATTAATATTATAGTGAAATAATCGTTGAATTGTGTTATATTGAAAATCATATATCGACTTATATTCTAATATAAATAGCAGTAAAAGCATTTTCATTAAGTTACTAAATAGTTTGACTACACTAACTTTAGCTTGACTCAGGTGTAGTATATTGTTTTTTCATTTTGAAATGTAAAATTTTTGGGTTTTTTATTCTGAAACATAAAAAATTTTAGGTTTATTCTTAATAAAGGTCTTTAACTTGACTCAGGTGCAGTATATTGTTTTTTTCATTCAGAAACGTAAAAAAATTTGGGTTTTTCATTCTGAAACATAAAAATTTTAGATTTATTTTTAATAAAGGTTTTTTACTTCAATGCTATTATAAGCATAAATGGTCACATTAAGTTTGTAATTTTAGCGAACAAGATGTTATAGACTTCTTAACATATAGTTCTATAATAAAGGATAAAGTATAGTTTATTGTTAAGAGATTACAATTAGAAATAGAATCAGCTCAATCGGTTAAAAATTTAGTTAAAGTTTCGAAGAGCTAAGAATTATATATATGCATTATTAGTAGTACAAATCTAACAAAGAATTTTGAATGAAAAGATCTGGTATAACAAATATAAATATCAGTGTAATACTTGTATTTTAACTGTAGACTTTCAAATATTATCTAAGATTTTTTATCCAATCATAATTTTAACCCTATTATTAGATTTTAGTCTAACCTGCAATATTTATATAAGTATACAATGTACAAGTATTCTAAACCGAGCTGTGATAGATACTTTGGACGTCATTCTTCTTATTATAACTATATAAAAACTCACAATAAAATAATTGAAAACCTTCTTCAAGAAGCTACTATAGAAAGAAGAAGTAATATACTAAGAAATATGTAGCAAGCTAATCAATGAGATGATGATCAACTAGAAAATAAAATTGGTGGTTTTGTATTAGGTTTTAGAGAAGAAATAGAAAATATTGAACCAGGATTTGAAGAACATATGGATTATGAAATAGACAAAATAATAAATAGTTTAGAGTCTGATTATAGCGAAGAAAGAAATAATAGAATTAATGAAGCAGATGATAGAGAAATAGACGATAAAGCAGATGATAGAGAAATAAACAATGAAGCAGATGATAGAAATAATGAAATAGATAATAAAATAGACGATGAAGCAGAATTTGAAGATGATGAAGTAGAATTTGAAGATGAAATAGATGAAATAAATGAAATAAATGAGGTATATATTGTATATAGTACATATAACCATCTATTAGAGTTGCAGATGAAGCTAAGTTTGAGAGTTTGAGCTTACTATAGTTTCAACTTACTATAGTTTCAGCCTAAGTTTAATTGTTATTGCACTAATTAAATTTCACTATATTCAACAAATTTTCACCAGTTTCACTGCAACTTTAGCTAGTTTCACCTACAACTCTAATATGTATATATATATATATACATATATATCGTTATATATATTAAAATATTTTTAAGAGCTCAATATTGATATAATACAAACAATTATATTTATACATATACAGATGAATATTATGGAATATTAATTGTTTGAGGTTGAACCTTCATTAGTTTTCGAGTCTCTTGATATTAGATCAATAAACATTGAGAATATATCAAATTTTTCAAGTGAAGAATTTGGTAACTTTATGAAATTAGTTATCAAATAGAACTTGTCTGATACATGTGGTGGTGAAATACTTCATTTTTTAAACAAAGTATCATGTAATGATATAATCTTATCTACCTCAATTCAACAAGGAAAGCAGTTTTTAGATAAAATTAGTGTATCACATATTTCTTTTAAGAAAGTACTAATAATGAAATATGAAGAAGACATATACTATTTAAATTATCATCCGATTTTTAATTGTATTAAGGAATTATTAACTAATAAGGACATACTTAATCATTGTGTTTTCAAATTTTCACCGTTGTACTATAATGAACAACGAATATATAATGAACAATTTAATAGAGCAACCTATTACTGATTCACACACATTGATGAAGATCTTATATATTGAACAAAGTAATAAATCACAA